ATAATTTTTTATACAATAAGCCCAAGTCTTCCTAGGTTTACCTTTGCCTTTCTTATCATAAGTCGAATCTAAAACATCTACTCTCCTAATCAGATAATATATACAAGAGCAACAATGACAAAAAAAAAAAATATGTGAACACATGAACAATGCTATAAAAACATGTGAAAAACTTCATCAATTCAATTCGACGATTAGAGAGCAGAAGCTAGATAAATAGAGAAGATGATTCGCTTTACTATGAATAACAAAATACATTCCAAGGAAGAAACAACTAGAAAGAAAAAACAATAAGACATGAAGTAAAATTTTGAATTAAAATTTTTATTCAACATTTAAATACAAAGGAAGGAGCAATGCATGGATCGATGAGGTGGACGAAGAAATTTTGAAAACATCCTGAACACATGAAAATATGCAGAAAAATCTAGTAGTAGAAATAAAAAAAAAATGTGGAATCTCCAAGACTCATAGAATTCAGTAGCATCCAATACTACACCTTACCTTTTGTAATAGATATCAATCATACCCAAACTGAAGTTCAAATTCTCAAAATTGTTGTACTGTATAAACTCAATAAAATTGTTAGCTACTTCAAAATTTAGAGTGCAAACAAGTGGGATAGTATTGTCATCATCTTTTCCTTCGATGAAGTAACGATCAGCCTCAAATAACTTGGTGGCAGCTTTATTGTCACAAAATAATTTCCATGAATACTTTATGGTTTCTTCAAAGGCTGTGGCATTCCATCTTAAAAATCTCATTTTAGTAATGTTACATATCCCTCAATTACACTTCAGCCCTGCTTCATGCCAATTTAATAAGCATGTTAACCATACTATCGTGATGAGAGCAATCGACTGCTCAAGTACTAGTGATGACCAGAATAAAGAAACACTATTTTTTTCACAATAATAAATCTTACAAAATCTGGTAAACAGTCTAAGTGAAAAAGAAAACTAGCATTAATTGCAATATTTATACTACTTACGGATCTACGTGCAAAGTGTCGAGCGTTTGCTCTGTCTAGCGTTTGCTCTTCCAGGAGATGTTCGATCTTATCAAAAGCAGTTAATACCTGTTAAAATTTTATAAGAATAAATGCCGGTGTACCCAAGTTTATGATTAATAAATAAATAAATAAATAAACTTGAAATAAATTTTAGTTTTCACAATGGAAAAAAAAAAATTTTCTAGTTGTTAACTTGCAGTATATGTAAGATATGTCAATTTTTGAGAAAATAGGTTGAATAGGTTCGATGCATTTTCCCTTTGCTTTCATTCCATTAAATAATAATCTTACAATCTATTTTAGGTACAAAATATTCTATATAATCTATTTTAGCTAACTTAATAATGCATATTCATAATCTAAATATTCAACTAACAGAAAAATAAATCAGAATAAAGAAATTGGAAATAATTTAAATAATGAAGCTCCTAATTATAGAAAACTACTAATTTAGTTGTTTGATTTTCGTCTTTCCTAATTGACATCCTCCTCAAATTGATGCTGACTGTGAGCAATATGCATCAAGTGGCCAACAAGAAAATTTGTCGGGACCAACAATCCTCAAGCCGTAAGTGCCAAGGCCGAAGGTGCCGAAACCGAAAATGGCGAAGCCTCAAAGACAACTCCTGAACCAAATATGATTTGAGCAAAGAAAAGCAAAAAATCATCTATCGTTACCGTCCAGAAAGTTGAATCATAGCCACAGGAAGGATTTGCGTTCAATTACAAGATCCAAATGCTACCGATCATAGCCCACAAGAAGGATTTGGTTACACGATCCAAATGCTACCGATCATAGCCCACAAGTAAGATCTAGTTACACGATCCAAATGCTACTGATCATAGCTCGCAAGTAGGATACGCGTCCTGTTATACGATCCAAATGCTATTGATTCTTCTAGCGACGACGAGGATGATTTGATCTTCATACTAACAGTGCTGAAGTCGAGATTAGGCGTGCAGATAAAAAAAGAGAATGTCTCGTTGGCGTGCAGATGAAGGTGACGAAGAAGCGGGAGCCACTACGAGTGGAGTTCGAATGAAGGAGAGGCTCTGTAGAGACCAGTCAAGTCGAAGAGGAAGACGAAGTAGAACGAAAACGACCTAGGCGAAGAAATAATTAGACGTTGAGCAGACAATGCGAAATTACAAACGAGCAGACGAGCGATTCACATCAGGTTCACCAAACAAGCAGACGGACGAAGCAGTCGCAGCGAACGAAGATCCCTCCAAACAATTCTGAGGCGGAGTGTGCGGAGTCGTGTCTGCTTCCGTTGCGAGGGGCTTTGTCAAATACGCAAATCAAGGCAAACAAATAGTTCCTCCCTTCCCGCAAGAAAGCCGGTGGGAAGGGAATCTTGACGGTCCTCCAACAACTACCGATAGTTAGGGCAAAAATTTGGCTCAGATACCATGTCAATTTTTGAGAAAATAGACTGAATAGGCTCGATGTCTTTTCCCTTTGCTTTCATTCCATTAAATAATAATCTTAGAATCTATTTTAGGTACAAAATATTTTTTATAATCTATTTAAGCTAACTTAATAATGCATATTCATAATATAAATATTCAACTAACTGAGAAATAAATTAGAATAAAGAAATTGAAAATAATTTAAATAAGGAAGCTCCTAATTATAGAAAACTCTTAATTTAGCTGTCTGATTTCGGCCTTTTCTGATTGACAAGATATTAAAGAATATGACTTCTGGCAATTTGTATATTTCTAAATCTTTAAGATACAATTAGATGTAATGTTTAATGTTTATACTAATACCTAAATTTTGATATTGTATTGATAGTATAGATTTTGTTCATGTATAATACAACATGGATTTGAAAGCATGTGCAACTTTCTACTAA